GGCTCTCCCCCTCTCTCCTCTCTCTCTCTCTCTCTCTCTCTCTCTCTCTCTCTCTTCTCCTGTTCTCACGTGATTGGGAAGGGATTTTAAAGAGAAAATTTATTGTAGAGGGAATTAAGAGAGGGTATTTAAGAAGGGAATTTGTTACTGTAGCTACAGTAATAAATTAGTATTTATTGAGGGCTCTCAGTTTGAGATCTGCTCTAAGTTTGTAATTTCTTGTTTGATTAATAAGAAATTTATTGTGTGGCTCCCGAGGACGTAGGCAGTTGCCGAACCTCGTTAAATCTTGGTGTACTTTTTCTATGCTGTGTTTCTGCTGTCTTAGGGTTTTCGGCATGAATTCCCAACAATTGGTATCAGAACGTGAAACGATCTAGAGGAAGTCAGATTCAAGTGGGAACCATGATCGCAGATGAAGGAAAAATGAGACTTGAGAAGTTTGATGGAACAGATTTTGGATTCTGGAAAATACAGATAAAGGATAATCTGTATCAGAAAAATCTGTATCAACCACTATCGGGGAAAAAGCCGGAGTCGATGAAGGAGGATGAGTGGATCCTTCTAGACAGACAAGCCATCGGTGTTATCAGATTGACGTTGACCCGCAATGTTACGTTCAACATAGCGAAGGAGAAGACCATGGCGGATCTTATGGCAACACTCTCAAATATGTATGAGAAGCCATCAGTTGCGAACAAAGTTTATTTGATGCGACAATTATTCAATCTGAGAATGGCGGAAGGCGCATCAGTAGCACAACACCTAAATAAACTCAACACCGTCACAACCTAATTGAGTTCAGTTGAAATTGAGTTTGATGAAGAAGTTCGGGCGTCGATACTTTTTTCCTCCCTACCAGAGAGTTGGAACGTTACAGTCACGACAGTGAGTAGCTCGTCGGGAAGCAACAAGTTGAAGTTCGACGACGTTCGTGATCTGGTTCTCAGTGAGGAGATCCGACGGAGAGAGTCGGGTGAAGCTACAACATCTTCAGTATTGCATACAGAATCTCAAGAGGTAGAAATTCAACCAGAGGGAACGGGCGAGGCAAATCAAACTACAGAGGTAGATCAAAGGACATGAGGTCCAAATCCAGGAATCCAAGCAACAGCTCGAAGGCTATCGAGTGTTGGAATTATGGAAAGACCGGGCATTACAAGAATCAGTGCAAGAGCGCACAAAATGAGGAGGAGGCGAAGGCAGAGGTGAATGTCACTTCCACCTCAGGAGGAGACGACGCATTGATATGCTCTTTGGAGAGCAAAGAGAAATCTTGGGTGTTAGATTCAGGAGCGTCGTTCCATGCTACTTCTCAGAAAGAATTCTTCGAGAAGTATGTTCCCGGAAAACTTGAATACGTATACCTTGGTGATGATCAACCGTGTGCTATTGTGGGCAAATGTGTGGTGAAAATTAAGTTGAACGGGTCAGTATGGGAGCTGAAGGATGTCAGACATATTCTCGACCTGAGAAAGAACTTATTATCCGTAGGCCAGTTGGCTGGCGAAGGATACACTACGACCTTCCATGAAGATGATTGGAAGATCTTAAAAGGCGCAATGACAAAGACCGGTACCCTGTATATGACAGCAGGTGCACGTTGTTTGATCTCAGTTACAGCAGACAATGAGACTTCAAAGCTGTTGCACCAGAGACTCGATCATATGAGTGAGAAGGTGATGAAAATCATGCACACAAAGGAAAAACTCCCAGGTCTAGAATCAGTTGATTTAGATATGTGTGAAGAATACATACTTGGAAAGCAGAAGAGAGTCAGCTTTCAGACAAGTGGCAGATTCCCCAGGAAAGAGAAGCTAGAGCTCGTTCACTCAGATGTTTGGGGACCAACCACCACCGCGTCCATTGATGGGAAACACTATTTTGTGACTTTCATTGATGATCACTCTCGGAAAGTATGAGTCTACTTTCTAAAGCATAAGTCAGAAGTATTTGAGGTTTTCAGAAGATGGAAAGCCATGGTCGAGAATGAGACCGGTCTGAGAATAAAGAAGCTCAGGACCGACAATGACAGTGAGTATGAAGACACCGGATTCAAGAAGTTCTGCTATGAGCATGGGATCAGAACGGAGAGAACAGTGCCCGGCACGCCTCAGCAAAATGATGTAGCTGAACGGATGAACAGAACTGTTGCCCTAGAAGGGGGGTGATTAGGGTCTTATGCTAATCTAATCCGATTATATTCCAATAAAAACTAATAACAAGTTATCCTAGCAAGTATGAAATATAACAACTATATAAGCTAGGATAAACAATATGAACAATGGGATATATCCTATATGATGAATATATATATGCAAGGATATATAAACTAACACAAGATGATATATCCTACCAAAGAGATATACAATATGATATATGTATATGCAAGGATATAAAACTAACACAAGGATAAATAAAATAAAACAAGATAGTGGATGATATAAATAATGAGACAATGGCGAAATGAGCAATGAGCACAAATAAGAATAAACGCCAAAGCACACTCAAACACAATCAAATGATCACGGAGTGCGGACCTTCCGTCCTACGTCTCCGCTCCCCACTCCCGGGGAGAAATCCACTATCACAACTGGATTTTCTACGTTCACCCGAATAACGTTTATACCACACAATACGGTTTTCTAGTTTACCGAAAACTCTACAACTATCACACTCTTGTAATTCCACTCTACACCCTCTCAAGTGTTGAACTAGACGTGTCTCCCTCAAGTGCTCGGTTACAACCTCTTCCTAGGTTCGTCAACCAACGCCACTCCTCTTGGGATGATCCCCGACTCTCGCCACATACTTCTCTCGGTGTACAAGTGTATTATAAAGTGATCTCACAATAAGCACAATATAAATCAAATGATTGTTCTCTAAACAAGGTGAGAACTCAATTAAGCACAACTCTTAGTCACAAACCCACAACCCCAAATTATACTATGAATGTAAATACAATAAGCTTAAAGGTTGTGTGTGAACAAAGAGATATAAATCAAAACTAAACTCAATGTAGTTCTAGCTTAATAATAATGATAATCAAATATATAAAAGAGCTAGAAATAGAGTTTAGAAAACTTCTCAATAGATCAAGAGGTGGAGGGAGAATAGTTGGAAGCTCAAACTTCAATAGATGATCTCCTCAAGCTTTTGTGAAATTGATTTCTCAAACTCAAACTCTCAAATGCTTAAAAGCTTCTTAAAACATACAAAAACTTAAACCCTTCTTTGAAACTTCCTTAAACTTGTTTAAAACATTCTTGGATTGTTCTAAGTGTTGAGGGATGATGGGTATTTATAAGAACTCAAGGCAACAACCCAAAGCCAAAGAAAAGCCCAAAAAACAAGGCAAATCCCCAAAAAATCGGAATCAGGAAAAATAGAGCCGTTGGGCAACGGTAACTAACAGAGAGTTTGGCGGTCGACCGTGGCGGTCGACCGCGGGTACTATAGCAGTGCGTATCAGTTTTGTAAAATCAATTAAAAATAGTAAAACAGCTCCAAAAAGTATGAAATTTTGTGAGAAGGTTCGAGACATATAGAATAACATGTTAGAGAAAGAATTTCTGAAAAATCATTTCCCAGTTGAGAGAAATAAATGTTTGAAAACAGATTTACAGTTTCTGAAAAACTGCAGACATACACGATTTTGTAAAATCAATTGGGCACAGTAAATCAACTCCAAAAATAGTAAAATTTTGAGAAAAGTTTCTAAACATGTAGATAAACATGTCAAAGAAAGAATTTCTTGAATACTACTTCCCATTTATGAAAACTCATCTGTTTTGTAAAACATGCACGAACATGTGCACGAACAAAAACATGATTTTGTAAATTCCATTAAACATAACAAATCAATTCCAAACTTGATGAAACTTTGCAAAATGTTTATAAGAATGAAAACAAACATGTTAGAAAAAGAATTTCTCAAATTGAATTTCTATTTGTGAAAACTAATGTATTTTGCAAGTGTGTCCAAAGCATGAAAACTCAAAAACATGCATGTATATATATAACTATATATATACATAGAAACCAAATACGTGTGTGTATATGATATTGAGCTTAAGGTACTTAACACACATAATATAAAACCTAAACTAAGTTACCTAAGCTAGATCTTGATCTTCAATAAGCTCTTCTTGGTAATCTTGCGGATGAAGCTTGAACTTGGATCTTCAACTTGAATTTGCATAGCTTCAATCACTATTCCACCAACCTCCATTTGATATGATCGTTATGACGCAATCCATCCATCCTCCAACTCGTTGTTTGTCTACAACATTAGTGATAAATTGTTTATTAAACATCATCAAAACAAAGAGGCCAACAAGAACTTTGACAGAGAGAGCCAGAAGCATTCGGGTACAGTCAGGCCTATCGAAGCAGTTCTAGGCAGAAACAGTC